CAGGATGATGGTGTTGAAGGCCGAGTTGAAGTCCACAAAGCGGGCTCGTGCATACGTCCCCGGCGGAGTCTAGGTGTTGCAGAATGTAATGCAGTGTCATGTTCACTGCATCGTCCACTGACCTGTTTGCCCAGTAGGCAAACTGCAGAGGGTCTACGATGTCCTTCAGGTGGGCCAACACCAGTCTTTCAAAGCACTCCTCAAAGTGTTTCTTCCACTGCCCAATGACATTCTGGTGCTAAACACAGTCTGGGTTAAGCCCTGCTTTTCCCTCTTGAGCTCCCTGATGGTTTGTAAGAACTTCCTTAAGGCCAAGTAAAAGTCCCTCTCTGAATTCCTCACACACCCGTGTTTTTGCACTGGTGACCACTGCAGCTGCAGCCCTTCTGGCCCAATGGCTGCTTCAGGAGACCCCAGGCCAACCATGTCCAGAAAGCCTCCTTCTTCAATGTGTGTCCACCAGCAGATTCTCAGGTTGCTGCCAGGCCAAGCACCCATGACTTTCTGGCCACAGCGACGAGTAGACACTTTCACAATGGAGGATTTGAACTTGGCCCCTTCAAATTGCATGACCCCAACCTATCCTGGGTATGCATGGGAAATTTGAGTTAAAGACCACCAAAAGTTTCCAGTTCACCATCACTAGAGTTCGGGTTTACCAGGTCTGTCCAGCAATCTTCCCCACCACCTGATCCAGCGAACCACCAGATGGTGATCAACTGACACAACCTCTCTTCACTCTAGTGTCCAAAACATATGACCAGATGATTTGATAATAGGACCGCAAGATCTATCTCTGGGGTGAATTCCAGCATAGGTGTTTAACCTGAGGCTCATGAGTATCCCTACGCCCACCTGGCACCTCACACCCTGTGCAACTGTGGGGAAAGGTCAGACATGAACTCATCAATATGTAGTTGGCACCTTTCCATTCTCAGCACCAGCCCTAGATCCTTCCCCACCAGAGAAGTGACAAGCCATGTCTATAGAGCCAGTCAAGGATGTCAGAGATTGGCAAACCCAGGTCCCCGACCTTGCCTATTGCCTGGCTTGCATTGCACCCATCCTCAGTTCCTGTCCCTGCAGGTGATGGGCCCACAGGGTGGAGGCTCCATGTTTTGTTTAAATCACTTTTGTCTGGCCTCTTCCCTGAGACCAGTTTGTCTCATAAAACCCTGGACAATACAGCTCTCAGGATCACATAAACCCAGAATCACTGCCTTAAGGTATGTATATAAAGAACGTCATTTTCGGTTTTTCCCGTTTAGGAGTCGCCACAGCGAATCGTCACACTGACAACTCGCATGTTGACATTTGGCACGTGTTTTACGCCGGATGCCCTTCCTGACGCAACCCTGATTTGAACCCGGGCAGGAACGGCTATACCTTAAGGTATGTATATAATGTATATACATTTTTTATTTAAACTCAGGTTTATTTGTACCACACCTTTCATACAAAGTGGCAGCTCAAGGTCCCTCACATATACTATGAGAGCATATATAAAGCCATACAAAGCTAACATAAAAAAATAAAAATATGAAAACTACAAATAAACACAACCTCACAAACATAAACCCATATTAATCCACATGTACAAAACGATTAAGAACAAGCATCTTCATGGGCCTCTTTTTAAAAATATTGATGTTGGTGTTTGAATGCAGGTCATCTGGCAATTTGTTCCAGACAGTGGGACCTAGGTAAGAGAAAGCACCTTCAGAAGACTAAATATAATTTTGGCACATTTAAAAGATAATCAAATTATCTTTTGGGTTTTACAAATCAAGATTTAACTAGTTGAGATTGTGTTGTAGATATCTGACAATCTTAAAAGCAGTAAGGCAATTATTTGGTTGGCCCCTTAGAATATTAATGACTTGCTCACTGATTATAGTCCTTCTAAGACCCCTTGGGTCATCAGCTAGTCATTTTTTTAAAACGTCAACTTAAAGATATCTGTAACGAATTATGACTACACAAAATCCCATTAAAGATATTTGAATTTTGACTCGTGAATGTAATTACAAAAACCTGGAATTTATATTTTGGATAGGCAGAATTGAATTGTAGATCTTAAATTAGTTTTCCAATTCAAGTCAGTGAGGAATTCTTACTAGTCAAACTGTAATTGCAGATATCTCTAATTCGAATTTTGCCTAGTCAAAAATTAATTGCATGTATCTTAAATTATAGTTTTGACTAGTCTTAAATATACTGCAGATATCTTAAATCTAAATCCTGTCCACCTGTTCAATGTTAAAAGGGCTTGCCATATAAGTAGGCTACCGTACGTGGATAGCTTACTTATTTTACACTCCGGTCTAAATAGTAGGCCTATGTTGTATTGTCATTGTCTCTTGTGTGTATATTCAGTTATTTGGCTCTTGATGCTCCTAATTGCCTTGCCTCTAATCACTTCCTTTATTTTTCTAGAGCAAACCGTATGCATATTGTAGCCTGTGGCTGACTTTTTAACATTATCGTCGGTTCCCTTTCTTGTTCTGTCATTTGTATAGCTAAGTCAATTGTGAAAAATAAAACACGAGATTCGGAAAACCGCAAGTTATGGCCAACATAAAACAAATTACACAATGATAATAAAGTGTTATAACTACCATACTGTGTCGCACTGTGTTCCAAACCAGCAACGTTTGAAAGTTGTTATTGACGAAATTAAGTTACAATGTTTACAAATGTTGGCAGTTGCATTATGGGAGACAGATGATTGACACCGCCGCCATTTTCCTCCTGCTCTGTGCTTCCATTGTGTGAGAGATAGTAAATATCTGACACTGGCAGAGAAGCACAACACACTTGTATCCTTGCGAAGAAAAGGCGTTAAATTAACCCTCGGTAAGTTAAAATTTTATCATAGTCTTTGAGCCAATTAATACCATTCAACATTTTGTGAAGAAAATGGGACAGATGAAGTTGATTTCACGCTGAAATAGCGTGTTATTTCGACGCTGTAGAGAGGAGAAAAAGCAGCTACCCCGATGCCCAGGCAGAGAAAGACGGCTCACTACTTCCACTGCCGAAATATCTGCTCCACTTTCAGTGGTGGTTTCTGCGTCGCTTCTTTGCTTTAATACACTATGTTTTCTCACGCATGTGGCGTTTTTTTGTTGGTACACTTGTCCTCTGTGTTTTGGTAGTAGTCTTGTGTACACACGTTTTGTGTTTTTGTGGAAAAATGTCAAAGTTCACGTCCGCGCTTTGGCTGTATATTGGTAGCTTCCTTTGGGTCTGCGGCCATAATCTTGCGCTATGAGGCGGGGTTAAGGCTGCTCGTCCCGCCCCGAAACCCTGCAGAATTGAATTCCATTGGTCCTTGGACACGACAGAGACGCAGCGAATTGGTTGACGACTGAGTGATGACCTGTTCGGCAGCGTGATTGGTCAGGTCGGAGCCCACACGCTGTGTGTGTGTGTGTGTGTGTGTGTGTATGTGTGTGTGTGTGTGAGCGCGTGCGTGCGTGCCGTTGCCAAACCGGAGGAAATGTTCTCCCACAGGGGAACATAGGCGTGAACAACAAAGACTTGGAGTTAGATGTGGGAAAACAAAACTTTTACCATGCTGGGTAAATGAAAACCTCAAATCAAGATGGCAGTGTACCGATCCTCATGCAGATGTTTGTCGCTGCTGGTGCAAATGTTGACAACAAGCAAAGTTATCTGTAGTGTGCATGGAAGTCATGCACCACTAAAACGTATATGAAGGCACCAGATCCACTAAAGCAGTAAAATCTGATGAGTAACATAACTGAGTGTATCCGTAAATAATACTGTTAGTAATATAATTAAAATGTATTAAGACTTATGTTTGTCTGGAACCAGTGCCGAAAAGTGTGCCCGGGGGTAAATGGGGGATAAATAAGTTATTAAATATGTGCTAAGACCAAAAAAAGAGGAAAAACCAGTTAGTTGAAATATAAAATGAGCCAGTCAAAGATAAATAGGAGAGTGTCATGAATTAAGTTTTTATTTATCAACTGTTTGGAAGTGGAGGGAAAATATTGTCTAAAGTATTAATTGTCTTTTTACACTCAATTTGAATTTTTTAACAGTATTATTTATTGATGTATTAAGTGTTGTTGTTGACTAGTAACCTTTTACTCTTTACATTTAGGCAAAATGTTTTGGATATGCCACAATGAATTTAAAAAATCCTTGTGTGTAACATACTTGGCCAATAAAGGTGATTATCATTATCCTTAAGTAGCAACATATGAATAAATGAACAGTCATTAGTTTTGCATAGCATTGAAACTGGTGACGACATGAAGAGGGAGCAGCTCTAACCCATGTTACGGTCAGGGAGCAAAGTATGAAGTATAGAGTCAGCCATGTAATATATGCTTTTATTTTTTTCAATAATCCTTTCAGGTGATACCTTGTTGTAATGGCTCGTACCAAGCAGACTGCTCGTAAGTCAACTGGAGGAAAGGCTCCTCGTAAGCAGCTGGCCACCAAGGCTGCCCGAAAGAGCGCCCCCTCCACTGGTGGGGTCAAGAAGCCCCATCGCTACAGGTAATCCATGGATTTCCATCCAAAATGAGTCCAACAAATGGCTGTTGAGTCACCTGTATCAAGATGAGTTGGTGATTTGAAAATCTTTTTAGGATGATGATTTGATGATTTACTAAAACCCCATTGGTTGCACACAATGAAACACACAGGCAGCATTATGACCTGTCTGCATTCACATCTCTGTAGTGTAATTCTTAGGTTGTATGAACAGATTATTGTTTTTTTGGCACTGCTCATAGTTGGAGTTCTAGCTTAGTTTCATGTGCAGCAAGGAAACAGGAGGTAAACTAAGTTGATGGTAGGTAAACACTCGGCTTTAGAGGCACTAGTAGTTTTGGATGATAATTTATGACCTGTTCAGCTTAGTTTGAGCAAGATAAATTAATAGTGGGAAAACTTCATCTGAGGCTGCGTTCAGAATGAGTTTCAAAGGTGTGAAAATGCAGGCCACCAATTCATTCCTGTCAGGGAGCCTTTGAAAAACAACGTAGCCTTGTGTGGAGAAAAAGTTTGGTCTGGTTCAGATTTCAGCACCCGATGATGACATCATCCAACAAAAGCACTATATTGATCAATCAGGTGTGGGGGACAGTCGGGACATGGACGCCTACCTTGTTGACATGAGCATTCACCACTATTCACTGTGGAATTTGAGTTAACATTAATGCACCATAACAGCATGCCATGCCTTTCCCTTAGTACTGGATGTTAAGCGGCGTTTTTTATCTGTCAGTGCCGACACAGGTGGTAGAATTTGTGCTAAGGTAGAGTAGGCTATGTTAGCATCATGGCTAAGCAAAGCACAACGGCAGCTCCCGGGCTAGGAACGTGAATAAAGCCACTCATGTCAACTCGTCACAGTGTGGCCATATCGTATATGCCTACAACACTCCCCTGTAACCTCTCACCCCCCACCCAGAGCAGCGAGTTGTGTTTTTACCGGATCATTCTGAACGCCCACTTACAGTGAATAATGCATCCTTTTTGTGCAAGCCAGTGTTTTTTATTTTTGTTAGACACATATTTAAACTTGTTACTTTGTGAAGTTGGAGCTGTTCAGTTATTATTGTAATGTAGCCAGAAAGCAGCTGAGATGGTGTAATCAGCTCAAGCTGGGTTTTGTATTTCAGGCCCGGTACTGTGGCTTTGAGAGAGATCCGTCGGTACCAGAAGTCCACTGAGCTCCTGATTCGTAAGCTGCCATTCCAGCGCCTGGTGAGAGAGATCGCTCAGGACTTCAAGACTGACTTGCGTTTCCAGAGTGCTGCCATTGGAGCACTGCAGGTATATGCGTGTGTGTGCGTGCGCACATGCACTCCCTAAGTGTATTTTTGAAGCTCCATGAGTGTAACTCCCAAACTGAAAACTAACAGCTGTGTTAACATCTGTTGTCCCTGTCCGTCCCTGCAGGAGGCCAGTGAGGCGTACCTGGTTGGTCTGTTCGAGGACACTAACCTGTGTGCCATCCATGCCAAGCGTGTCACCATCATGCCCAAAGACATCCAGCTGGCACGCCGCATCCGTGGAGAGCGCGCTTAGACAGCCTCCTTGATGTTTTGCCTCTGTCCTGTTTTTCTTTACCTGTGCCTGCTCTCCTTCCTACATTCTACATTCCCCCCGTCCACCTCCCCCTCCTTCCCCAGCCTGCCCAGCTTCTCAGTAGACTTTAGAGTAATCCTGATTATGAAGAGGTAGAAATATGTTGAAGTCTGGTCTTTCATAGGATTTTTGTCTTCACCAAATGTTTTAGGGTACCTTTTTGTGCATGTAAAAGGTTTAGCAGATCAGACCCACCTGTGCACACATACTCAAACATACATCACTGGGTTTGGGTGGCACTTCAAGATGGGAAGCCAAACCTTGATCTCACCTGGATTGTTCGAGGTCGGGAGGCCGGTGGGTGCAGTTTGTGTAGCAAAGAGAGCCAATGCAGAAGAACTCGGCCGAGGGGCTAGTCTGCTTAAGGGGAGCTGCAACTTCCACAGCAGGGTGCTATTAAAACTAGTCCCGAGGGGTCTGGCCATCTGAGCTCCCTGCTGCCCTCCCATCCGGTCCACCCTCTACACCCCCACTCCCCTCTCACTCGGCAGCTGCGGCTAGACGGGTCGCCACACTCCTTGATCTGTTTGTGTGGATGTGTGAGGTCTGATCTTCCAAACCACTTGTACTCAAAAAAAAAAAAACAAGAACCTCTCAGTTGCTTAAGATTATTGATTATTGTTGTGGATATGGTGTCTATTTTTTTTACTCATATAAATCATAGATGAGCATCTTCCTTTACCACTTCCAGAATCAGTAAAAAAGGGGAAATCAATTGACATTGTAAACATGGTTTTCATGTTTTGTTTTGTTTTTTACAGTGATTTTATTTCCTATAGAAGATAAGAAAGGGCTCCTCTGTTTCCCAAGGCAGCTTCTATTCAAACGGCAGCCACATGGGGGCGATGGTTTCCCTTCTCTCTGTCTATTCAGTTGTTCACTGTAGATCAGTCATCGCACATTATGCTTCTGTCGCTGTCTCTACCTTTACCACAGATAGGCATTAGATGTGTCACAGCAGATAGAGAAAGTTTAACTGCGTGTTTAGGATATGTGTGTCTCCTGCACTCTGTAGATCTGAGCATATAATCTGTCCCTTTCTCAAAATTTGTGATACACAATATAACCTCATATTTGTTTTTCTTTTATATTTTTCTTATTCTTCAAATTTTTCAAACATATAAAAATAAGCTGATCTTTGTATTTTCCAAATTTCTCATATTATGGTGGTAATAAATAGGTGTTTAAACAGATGCTGGCTGGTGTGATTTACTGTCTGCATAGTTTGTCAGAGGCCTTAAAATGCTACAGTGGCTTTCCATAAACGCAGGCTGGGTAAGAGGAACTGCAGTGTACTGTAGTTTTTACCAGTGGAGAAGGACCAAACTGCCACATGGGGGTCATCTGGAGCAGCAACCAGTACATCAGAGAGTACACACACTCTGTAAATCCCTGCAAACTTAATGGCTCAGCACATTTCCACTGTGCTTGTGTCATTCTGTCGGTGCCAGTATAACTCTGCCCCTACATAAAATAAACTGGGCCCTCACAACTGACAGAGAACCTGTGGTGTTTCCATGAGGTCCAGCAGCGTGTTTACTGTTTTACCATGGTGACCTCTGACAGCAAGACTGAGTCCATGTGACAAACTAAGTTTTAAAATGTTACTAGAATGTGTGGCCCCTCTACGTTAAAGTTACAACAACGCCATCTAGTGGATACGGTTCTACCAGCGCAGATTCATTACTCATTTTAGTTTTGTTGGTTTATTTGTTTGTTTTTCACAAAATGAAAAGATGAACAGTTTTTGCTAAGCCCGGCTTTGTTTTTGACAGTAAACAATAAACTAACTGAATCGTCTGCTCAGTAGCTCAGGCCCTGTTCTTCAGTTCAGTTGTTGTTCATGTGAATATTCAGCTTTAGATTAGTCTATACTAATTCACAGCCGATTATGAGGGAATGTGTACACTTTCTTCCAGTATTTAGTAGCTAGTTTTTAAAAAAATCTGGTCAGCATATCAATTGCACTAAACTGTTAAAATGCATTATTGCACTAAATTATACCACTGAACGGTGGGTAACAGGCAGCAGCCAACATTACAATAATCCAATAGTATAATATATAATAATGTAACAGTGACAAAGGGCATTTTGGCTGAATAGTGACTACGTTTATACATTTTATGATTATGGATTTGTACTTCTCCTGCATAATAAATAATGTAATAGTGACATAACCCAGTAATCAAAAGATGCTTTGTGGGTCAGCTCTGTTTGTTGTTAAGTTATACTATGCTGATTTTTCAAGTGAAATTTCCCTTAACAGTGTGCTCAAAATTACAATATTTAGCCCTTCCTTTATAGGTGGGCAAATAAGGCAAATATAATTATTTTTTTAACGATGTTTGGACTTTCTGAAAATATTTGTCTTCATTTTCTCCTTTTAAACAACAAGACTGGGGCCTGAGGCTTTCCTTCTCGGACTGCAGTCACCTTCCTCAAGGTCTGCTCAGTGCCGTCCATCCCCCATCACATCTGCTCCTCCCTGGGATTACAGCACAAATGTCTGGAGAAACTCAGTGCTGATGGGAGAGATTATAAATGTGCTGCACCCTTCAAGAGAGGTTAACCAATCAGGGTGCGCAGATGCAGGGATTAACCAATGCCACCATGGAGGGGGAGGGCAAAAGGATTAAACTGAGTACAGAGTGGGATTAGGTCAGTTCTGAGAAATGCTTTGAAATGTGTCTGGCTCCACTTTGTCTTCTCAGTAAAACAGGTCTGAATCTATAATTTATCATCAAAATGTTGTGACATGGTTGAGGACAGAGATTAGGGATGATTTATATGTCAACTAACTAACATGGGTTGTTTCATTTTTATATCATAACTCATCAGAAATATCTCAGGAGTGATACTTTATTACATCTTAGACCAGTTTAGCTGTTAAAAACATGTCACATGGAAATTTAATCTAATGCTAAACTGACCTTGGGTTCTGTTTATTGCTAATCCTATGATATCTGAGCTAAAAAGACAAGTTTACAATTCAGTGTCGGTTTAAAAACATGGTAAAAGATGCCATGGAAATCAATGAGATAGTGGTCACATCTGTCTGTTGTGTTGGAAAGCGAGTAAGTGTACAACTGAGGATCAGTCCTCTCTTGCTGACCTCTTTCCTTTTCCTCTCCCAGAGCACACCAAATACACACATTTCAATAAAATATTTTCACATATGATGCCATAATTACATTTGTGTGGCAGTATTCAGGGCATGGGAGGATTAGCAAATTGTCAGAGTCATTGGGGAGTGGCGGGGGTGGGGTCTGGAAGGGGTTGAAGGAAGGGGAACCACCAGCTGTTCAAAAGATATCTGAGAGATGGAACAATTCATGATAACAACTTAACAAAAGCTAGAAATAAACTGCATTATTGTGAATGATGCAGATGTTCTGGACTTGTTATTTTGGGGGTGTATTGGACAAGTGGAATACAAGGGGGAGACAACCTGAGGAGAGGCAGAGGAAAGAGATGCTGCAGAGATAGATGAGAGACCAAAAGGACAGATGGACGCCGGTAGAAAGAAAGCAACAAGACAGCCGGGGAAGGTGGTGGGAAGAGGCCAAGGTGGGTGAAATGGGTGAGGCAGAGAGGGATAGGGCAATAATCTGAACTAATTCACTTAGGACATTGCTGAAGGGAGGCTAAGAGGATTGGGATGCTCCCAGAAACAGATCAACTAAAATAACCAAGATGGGGCGGTGAGGGCCATGTGGGTCCAAACCCGACCACACCGTGGCCTCCTCACAAACACACTGGGTCGAGTCGTCGGAGTGACCTGTAACTGCAGCAGTATCAGCCCAATCCCCAACAAGCTACGAACCTACAAGCACAGTTCAGAGCACAGAATTTCAGCAATTTCACTACACAAAGGTATAAAGGATACACAACTTTAATGTGTCACACAACTAAAACTAAAGATCTCATTTTTCCATCTACAGATCAGGATAATAACACTAAAGGCTAACACTGTAATATGCAACACAAATGCTCAAAAATATTGAAACAAACCAAATTACACTAAGTGTAGCATAAATAATAATAACCTGTTTAAAATAGTTCAACCCTGAAAGAGGAAATGACCTGTAGGGCTTCAGAGCCTCTTCATGGTAAATCAGTTCTCTTTTCACTAAATGCTAATGCAGGTTTAAAACACAATGAACAGGTGTAGTGTGTCACAGGAGTGCTTAGTGCTTTTCCACACAGACTCCAGGGTGTTCCTACAAACTCTTTAAAGGCTCTTATTTAATGTAACAGGAAGGAGATGACAGACTTGATTTGTTGTCCTGCAGCACTGACAGTCACTCTCACCTCTGACATTTTTCAAATAAACTGTAATTCTTTACAAAATCTTACAAACAGTTGATAATCAAAGAAAATAGTCCTCTGGCAGAACTGCCTCACACTAACTCATATGGGACTCACTGACACACAACAGGTTGACACACATAAACACCACCCTCTCCCACCTCCTAGAGGACCTGGAACTTCCAAGAGTTTTGGTCTTTGTGGTCCAGGCAGTCCATTGTAGTGAAGCCCAGTTTCCAGGCCTGCTGGTCCTTGTAGTCCAGGCAGTCAACAGAGGTGAAGCCCAGGGATGAGGCAGTGCTGTAGCCTTGTGAGGACAGTGAAGCTGGGGACTGGCTTAGGGAGCCCCCCATCGAGGGGACAGTGATGGGGCTGAGAGCGCCCCCGGTGCCCGAAAGCTGCGAGTGCATGGGGGACAGGTAAGCGCTGCAGTCCAGGCCCGTGAAGTAGGAAGTGGTGCTGGGATAGCCCTGGGTGTAAGTCGATGGCTGACCATAGCTCATAGGGTAAGGTGAGGGCCGCTGCATGCAGGGGGCTGAGGAGGAGGCCAGTGGGTCCGGCAGGGGTGAGATGGCCGGGCTCCAGATCGACACAGTAGTGTTTCCGGTGCTGGAGCTTTGAGCCAGGCTCGGGCCTGACTGGGCAGACGAGGGGCTGTAGGAGCTCGATGGGTTAGGAGCAGGATCAGGAGCACTGGGTTCCTGCACTGGAGAGGCCTTCTTTTTGGGAGGGCGGGGCTTGGATTGGCCAGTACTCTGCTGCTGCTGCTGGCGGCACTTGGCACGGCGGTTTTTAAACCAAACCTGGAGATGCAAAGTCAAAGTTACAACAAATCAACTGCCAGACATTTAAATGTGTGTCCTGATTTTTTTTAAAAATTAGGATACAGTGATGAGAAAGAATAATGTGACCTGAATAACTACAGTGCTTTACCATAAATGAATGTGCAGGACATAATATTACAGAAGGAGTTTATTGCTTTAAAGTTGTTAAGATGTCTGCTCTCACTATATGTAACCCACAAACACAATGGTATGGCCTCCACTAAGGCTCTGGCCTACTTTGCCAGTACCTGCACACGTGACTCAGGCAGGTTGATCTTGAGGGCCACCTCCTCCCTCATGAAGATGTCTGGGTAGCGGGTCTTGGAGAACAGCGCCTCCAAGATGTCCAGCTGTGTCCGGGTGAAGGTGGTGCGCTCTCTGCGCTGCTTCCGTGGTGTGGCTGTAAGCCCGAGACACAAACAATGACGATTACTCTACTAGCAGCGATTTGAATATTGATAATTGAGACATGACTTATGAGTATAAGTCAGAATGAATGTGAGTGATAATGCATCTTACTTAGTGAATACTTGTTTGTTTTCCAACTCTGTGTGTTAGGAAAAATATTAAAGCACATTTGGTTGTATACCTGATTTGGCAGGTTGTGCCCAAACTGGAGAGGCAAAGTATTTACTCATCATCTTAAATGATTAGAATTTTCACTGGTTCTTTCCAGACTTTGCTTTTCTAGAGAAGGGGAAACATTTAATTCATTTAACTATAGTTTGTACAGTCAAATCGATGCTGCCCTCTGTGGTAAACAGCCAAGTGATCAGGTGTATTTGTAAGGTAGGTACTTTATTGATCCCACAGTGGGGACATTTCTGATAAGTATATTTGTATTTTGCATATTGTATAAGTGTATTTGTAACAACTATAGTGAGGAATTATTAGATCTAGTCATGGGAATATGGCATTTATCACAGTAAATCTGCAGTCATTCTATATTTATCTGAGTGTCATAGACGTGAGAACGTTTCAGAAACAGTGAGAAACATAAAAGAAAAAATATTTATGTGAAATCTTGTCTCACTTCTGACATCAGTGCCAGGAGTGAGTTTGTTGATATGATTTGCATTTCAATATCAGAATAGGTTGATCCTATCAGCTTATTAACAAATATATCTATCTATAACAGCAGAATGTGTAAATTCAAAGATGAACATTTCAACAAATCCCTAACGAAAACTATTCTGAAATTTTCTTTTTCTTTTTTTCTTTTTTTTGGCTCCAATCCGTCACAGACTACATCTTATCATCTAATCAATACTACCCACCCTTTGTATCATTACAGTGGCTCTTATGAAACAAATGACCCTTTTTTGTCATTTGCCACAACGTTATGCATAAGCTTGTGCGTTTTTACGCATCTAATAGACTGAATGTATACTCTAATAAAGGAAACAAAAGAGTCAAATGTGTAAAATGAAAAATCAAAAAGTACAATCAAAAATATTAAATTCTAACAATTTATACTTACATGGATAAGCGACGGTTGTGTGAAGCACATCCATTCCGGGACCGGGCAGATTTAACCCGTTCATAGTGTAATGGGGTTGCTTTATGTAGGACATCATCCTTACAGCAGGCTTTTAATTCCCGTGGCTGACTTGTAGGACGAACACGCCGAGGGCCTGTCAGAGCTCAGCTGGAGCAACAAGTCAGTGTGGCGGATCCAACCCTGTGCGTAAAGAAGCGGGGCGCGCCGGAGACCAACAGGGAACCCTGAATTTTTTTTTTTAAACTGCAGTTTCAGCTTTTCTGTCTGGAGGCTTGACAAGAGAGCACAGCGCACGGAGCATCCAATCTGCTTTCCAAGTCTGACTTCACACGGTTAAGTCAGGACACAGGTGAAGCGGCACCGGATGCCTTTGCGTCTTGGTGAGGTCGCTCCACTGAGTTTCTTTACCGGCACACGCCGCTAATTAGGGGCAACAAGTAGCTTCAACAAACCCCTCCCACCACGCGCGTGCGCACGCACATGCATTTAATGAGACTATTTCCACAAACTCTAGTCTTAGCCAAGATGTACATTTTTGTCTGATTCTAGTCTGAAATAAATAATAAGTCTTATTTATATAAGTTTAAAAAGACAGTTGTTCAAATATAAATTCCAGTGAACAGCATGGTAATGTAAAAAAACTACATCACATGACCAGGGATGTTCTAGATGTTGAAACTGAGTCTGTGTCACTGCCATGTTTTAAACAAATATTGTATATTTCCAAAAAAAACAAAACAAAGGATTTCACTTTACCAGAAATCTCTTTTGTAGAAATAATGTTTTGAACATTTCCTTTCAGTTCTGTCCAACTCATCCTGCTGATGAATTAACTTGCTGCACTTCATACATTCACACATAATTGACAGATTACATTTATCTCCAAAACAGCTGCGTGCCCCCCCCACAACACACACATGCACATACAAACACCCAGATGCACAAAACCAAGAAAGCTCGTTTGTTTCATCATAATATGCTTGATCTGAAAAGTAGGTATCTTATCTCAGATAAAGGGAGGAAAGACACAGGTTGACTGGTGGAGACAGAGAAGAGGGTTCAGGGAACTGTAGGAGCAAAAAGAGAGAATGTGTGTGAAGGCAAAAAGAAAGACATGAGAAAAGCAGAAGATAGAGGATCTATCGACAAAGAGAACTGACAGGGGGAGGAGGAAGAAGAGAGCAACCTGGACAGATGCTTCAGTGCAATGTCACCACTGCTGTGCTTCATGG